TCTTGTGTGAGGCAGGTGTGTTTGGTATCTTTATCCTTCAGAGTTGTTCAAACTCAATTGAAGCTAAAACTTGGGAATTGGTCATGTTGTTTCTGTTGTTTATCTTCATTGCTCAGCTTACCAATCAATGGTATGATATGGTAAATTCCCTATTGAAACTCTCAGTCTTAGAATCTCTAAGACATGGATTAAAGTTTGCTACCAACGGAATCATCCTACCTTTCTTTTAGGCTCTGGCCAAACTATAAACACTGAACCTTGTTCATGTTAATGCTTTACAACAACCTGCAATCACCATTCAGGTATAATACAACCACTCTAATTTTTTAATGATATTTTTCACCAACTCATCCTTTTTTATTTATGAAATACAGGTGACATCCAAATTCCCAACCTTTATTTGTATCAACAAGCAAGGTACAAAACACTACACAAGGTGCACAAAACCAAATTAAGAGCAAAATTAAACCCAAGACTATTTCTTAGGTTTTAGGGATTGTTCTTTGGGTTGTATTTTGAAAAAAAATAGTTCACTTTTTTTTAGTATCTGGTTACATAGTTATGATGTATAGTTATTTAGAATGTGGAATGTTATTTTGGGTATATGCCTCTTGTCAGTACCCTTGTCCATGACCGTAGCTTTTTTGTTTTTTAGGATAAGCCTATTATGACTACACTATGTATAGGACATGTTTTGGGATTACCTTAGCTTCTTTTATGAACAATGTTACTATCTTAGTGAAAGTTGCTCTTTGCTTTGCCCAAATGAGAAATTTCTAATTATTTGTAAGCAAATTTTTATTATTTTGGGTTCATTGACTCCAAAATTTCAGCAAACTTTCCTTAATCTAGATCCAAAAATGTAAATTTTCTTGGAGTTGTATTTGTTTCAAAAGTCATTGGTTTCAATGGAGGTGAGGGGAATTTTTGGAAGAAAAATTTATTAAAAGTCGTGTGCAGGTCACATAATATGAATATGTTAACAGATTTGATATTGTTTATGGATAAGGAGAACAGTGTAACATCTTTCAAATTTTTAAGAGGTTTCATTGTAGGTTTAAATAACGAAAGGATATCAAGTGCAATTTTGAAAAAACACAAGGGGTGCGACTATAATCTACTAAAAAAAATTGATGTGAGTTGTTATGAGTGATGTGGCATGATAAGTCAAATTTAAAGTGGAATAAAAACTTTAATGAGTTGCTTATGAGAACCACCAATGGAGATGTTTTAAGCCTTCTCACTTATGTACAACTCGATCATCGAGAACACGGTGGTGGAAAATACAAAGACCTCAAGGCCAATGAGTTCCATTGAGCCGAGAACATCTTGACATAAAGATTTAAAATTAATTGCTAATTTTGTCACCCAACTTTTGAATTAGTACATTTTGCTATAACTTTCAAAATTTCACAAATTTTTTCTTTCATTAGTTAATTGACTAAAATTAATAGTTGAGTACTGACATTACACATTGTTAGACAAGTAGCCTCATATAACTTAAGAGGGAGGTGAATTAAGTTTTCCAAGTTTTCCTCTTTTAAAAGTTTTTTGAATTACTTATAAATTCAATTCCTTAGATAAATTTATATGTAAAGAATGAAGATGCACACTGCTTAAACACAATCAAATGAATAAATAAAAGAGTAAGGAGAAGGATTTGCAAACTTGATTTTATACTGATTCGGTCAATCCTACCTACATCCAGTCCTCAAGTCTCCCACTTGAGATTTCACTATCCTTGTAATCCTTACAAGACTTGAATCCTCCAACACCTTAGAATTTCCTTTCCTTGTGTTGAGATCCACAAACACCTAGGAGAAAAACACTTTCTCCTTTACAGATTGAATGATAGAATAATTTTAACAAATGTCTCTCTTGAAGAGTAGCTATTACAAGATGAAGATCCTTAAAGAACTCTTAGAGAATTTGCAAGTGATTACGGCTAAGAAGTTTTTGTAATAGTTTTTCACATTTGAGTTCCTAACCTTTTAAAAGAAAAATCACCCATATTTATAGATAAAAATTTCATGGTTGTATCCTTTCATAAAAAGGTGTAACTTTTTGTGTTCTTCTGAAAAGATACACTGGTAAACGATTACAAGGGTTTGGTAATCGATTACAACGGTTATAAATTTCAAAATAATTGAAACATTGTATCTTAATATTCAAATTTTGAAATTCCCTCTCCTGGTAATCGATTACAAGGACTAGTAATCAATTACTAAAACATATTGTTGCATTGTTTCAAAAACTTTTATGTAGAAAACTTCATATCAATAATTTCTTTCACAAATCTCTTTTAAGAAATGATTTAAACTATTCTTTAAAGCTTTTGTTAAGTCTTTTGAAAACATTTTTACTTACTTTTAAAAGATTCAAAACTTGCTTAAATTTAAAGAGATTAATTTGAGGTTTTTGAAAACTTATTCTTAAGGCCAAATATACTTGCAATTCTAAAAAATTCTTTTATATTTTTAGCTAAGTTGACAAGACTTATCTATATAACACTTGAGATCTTGTTCTTGCATCAACTTGTTTTAGCTCAAACTTGATTCTTCTTCAATGCTTATAATCACTTTGGCATCATCAAAACGTTTGTACATAAAGCCTTCCACACACATTAACCACTAATGTGACGTTAATTACTAACTAATACAATACGTTATATCATTATTTGTATGTCACATCATAAATTTACCCTGATGTTTACATTGTTATATCAATGTTTAACATGTCATATTGACGATCAATTTGTTATGTTTAAAATTAATATATTACATCAATAGTTGACTAATGACGTTAAAAGATGTACTAACAAGATAAGAAAAATACAAAATTTTGAATGATAAATTATAAATGTGTAAATTCAAAAGTTGGATAGTAAATTTCGGGGATGATAATTATGATTTAGTTTTTCCATTCCATAACTATTTATCTCAAGTCTTTCCTCATTGCTTTAACGTGTGTATGGTTAGGTCATTTTCACTTCTTAAGTTTCTAATACTTGTTTATTTCCTAATTTTGAAATTTCAAATAAATTTAATTGCAAATGTAGATCCCAAATATATAACCAAATACATTTAATGGAGGATTATATAACACCTATGATGGGAGAAGTCACCAGCAAATCTATTGGTGTCGACGGGGATTTTCAATGAACGACGGTTAGTTTGAACCAAGTTTACCAACATTGGTCAAAATCAAAGGTTCAATACCTCCTAAGATTATATGAATTAAATTTATGTGCAAATTATTGAATTAACTATAGAGAAAAAAAAAATCCTTTTACCAATTATTATTAAAATGCTATTATATTTTCACTTTATCTTTGTTTCGATCATTTTTTATATTTTTAAAAAATAAAATAAAGTACAATGAGCAAATTTTATATTTATCAATGTAGCAACAGATCTTAACATTTCCATTACAGGAAATAGGTGAACATGCTCGTCTTTATTTTCATATATTCGTAGTTGAATCTGACAACTTCATACTGAACATACTCATTCTCTACGAGACTTTTGCACCTTATTACCTTTGAAACAACAATAAGTTTATAACATTTTACGATTTATAAAAATATTTTTATACTATAAACTAATTAAAAATCACTCTAGATGACTAATGAAACAGATATTACAAAAATCAACACTCTATAATGACAATCCATAATTAGATGTACATTCTAATTAAATTCTTAAATATATAAACCCACATAAATTGAATTGCCTGGCTAAATCAGCCAAAGAAAAATGAACTAGCCTTCATTCGTCAATTTGAATCACGTTTGCGTTCACCTTAAAAAGTTCCAAGCCCAAAATGGAACCCATTGCTGGTATAGCAAATGATTGTAACAACCATGCAAGTTTTAAGGAGCTCTATCGTAAGGCTCTGTATCATTGTAACAAACATCCCATACTGATTCCATTGAAGCCTTGGCCAAACCAGAGCAAAAAGGACTTGCAGACAATGATTTCATAACTCTTCTTCTGATGCATTCCTTCAAGTTGCATTACATTAGTTCAATATTGAACAACAGAAACAGTTTCTAAACTCTAAAATATATCAGAACAATGACACACAACGAATGGAGAAGCAGTCAATGCAATTTAAGGAAAATAAACTGGCACAGGCTTCAACTACCCTTTACACATTTCATGTCAAACTTGTAAAGATACAACATCTAATCAACGGGAGAAAAAGAGATCCTACTGTTTGTTTATTCTTTCTTTATTGTTCTGATGAATAAGGTAAAATTATTAGCTGAAGACCCTATGGTTATCTAGCAATTTATGTTATGTTTACACAGAACTTTAATTTTAATTGAACTTTTTTAGTTTCCTAATTGGTTTCTAATTTGAGCTACAAAAACATTCTTTGTTATAATTTACAGACCGGTCACCGTGGCCTTTCAAACAAGACCTCTTATATAGCAAATGATTTGCAGTCATGTCCATATAATCTTCACAGAAAAATTAAGCGTAAGAAAAAGTTCCACCAATCATTCACTCAACTTTTGCTCATAAATGAAAATCATCAAGAAAAGGGAAGCCATGCTTCTATTTATCCTAATAAATATGTTAGAATATATGAAAATCATCTCAATATAGTTCATACTTCACAGGATTAGGAATCTAGTATAAGTATAAATAAGGGTTAATGATATATGTTCATAACACATCATTGTATACAATATCATATTATTCAAAGTTTTTCTTCTCTCTTTTCCTTGTTCTCAACCTAAATCCCTATACCATTTTCTATGACCTATGTTGTCACCATTCTACTGCCAAGTTCACTAAAATTCAGAACTGTGCTCCACTTTATTTCATGCTTATTGTTTTTCATTTTGATTAACCCTCTCTTTCCCTTTCGTGCTTCCAACA